CAATCACAATTACGTGAAAATATGTATACTATTGCATACACATTCTGGGCATATTAATACACCCACAACTATACCCATTTATTAACAGTAAAATAACAGTGCAAGTGCTTAAAACACTGTGTGGCACACAGTGAGCTCACAAACATCAGCAATTACATTATTAGTTATGTTGCAACTGTTATTCAGATGTGAAAACCACAGCTCTAGGAATATATTACCTACATATATTTCTCTTATCCCATTCCTTTGGCCTTATTTTTATTTTGCCTTCCTGTCCTTTTCTAGAGTAACTCAGTCATTTTAAGGCTGTGTGCACACAGGCTGTACACACCTGTGTGTCAGTGGGCACATATGACCAACAAACACATTTCTTTTTACTCTATTCTTACAAGGAAATAATTGAAGATATTGTTATTTTGTCACTTGATAAATAAAACTCTTCCTGCATTACCTTTACTCTTAGAAATCTGTTTTTTAAACTAGAAGTCTATAGACTATCCAACAGAAGCAAAGCAAGAAATTTTGTTTTAATGTTTTAAAAACACTGAAATGCACAAAAAGTGTGTGTGTGTGTGTGTGTGTGTGTATTCCCATAATCCCACACTTTTAAGATCATATAAAATAGGAGATTCAAGAGCTCAAGATTCCTCTCTATCCATTCATCCAAGGTATGTATCCAGTATTTTCTTAAGATTTACAAAGACGTGTCTTCATATAATATAGTTTTTAAACATTAAATTCTGATAGGAATGTGAAACTGTAAGTTACCATCTAAAAACATCATTAATAGCTTTTCTGGTCAGTATATGTGGATCCATCTCATCCTTTTAATAGTTGCCTAATATTCCATTGTGTGGTTATAGAATAATTTATTCAAGGTAACTTGACCTTTGCTTACTGAAATGCTAAACCAGTGCAATGATGTTACATAAGATAATGAACAAATATTTTGTTGTAGGAAAGAATAACAATAACTAATATTTACTGAATATTCACTATGTGCCAGGTACTATTCTGGGAAGTTTACATGAATTAACTTATTGAATCTTTGTAACAATCCTACAATGTAGATACCATTAATTTCCACATTTGATAAATGGTGAAATAATTTTCCAAGGTCACACAGGTACTGAACAATAAGCTGGGATTCAAATCTAGGTAGGTTCCAAAACATTTGCTCTTAACTGCTCTTCCATAATGCTTCTTGAGAATTAACAAATAATTATATTTTAAGTATGCAACTAAAACAAAAGGAAAATAGATACCAACTGAAAATGTGGACAAAAATATTCTTAAAAGAGAAAGGTCACCAGAGAAAGCTAAAAATGACAGAAAGAACTATGCCAAAAATTGCAGGAATTAAGAAAAATGCATCCTCCCAAATTATCAGTCATGTTAAAAACCAGTGGAGAATATCAATAATGGCATGAAGATATAACTGTAGGGAAGTACAAAAGGCAATACCCTTCAAAAGGGTTGAAGCCAGAATATTATCTTACGTAAGATCTATTTTAAATTGCATACCAGATGTTGTACACGAATAGTCACACAAACGGTGGATGGATGTGGCCAGAAGAAAGGCAAGAGGAAAAGTAGAATGAGACGATGATCTTGGGTAAGAGATATTTTCCACCAGAGGCCACGGTCTATAGGCAGTAACTGCTTTGCCAAGTCATTGATGTAGCTCCTCTCAGCTCATACGTGAGGGTGTACATATGCATATGTAAATGCACTTTTCTGAGTGCCTGTATTTATTTCTTGGCACTGACTTCTGAGAGTAAGTTAAAGGCTGCAATATTTTGCAAGAAGTCAACTTTTTAGATAACTATACCAGGGTCACTACGTTAAAACAATAGATATCTCACTTGCCAACAAAACTGTACCCAAATGACAGCCTCTGACTCCTATTAAGGTTTCTATAACCTCTGGAGGCCTGAGGTATTTCTAAGTACTTTAGTATGTTGGAATCCATATCACTGAAGGCCCATCTTTGACAAAACAGATTCCAAAAATTTAGTTTACTATTTTTCTCTCCTCTAGGCACCTGGCATGAGCTCACAAAATGAAGACGAATTTTAATGTGTTGCCGAAAGAAAATATAATGAAATAAAACTGATCTGATGTCTTCCACACCCCTCAAAAAAAATCACATAATACATTCCAAGACCAAAATTAACTTTGAACTATCAATTCTGTCTAATTATGTCTATTTGCCTGTAACCTTGCCCTTTTTATTAGCAAAGAGAATACTGTTAATTTTAGTATAAAATTAGCAATGAAAGGAAAGATCAATATTCAAAATGATTTAGTAGCCAAAATAATCATTGTTAGAACACTGCTGATAAACAAAGACAGTAGTGAAAATCTTAAACTAAGTCAATAGTCACTTTTAGAGGAAACCCCATTCATAAATCACTCAACAACTTACTGTTGGGAGCTTACTGTTCTGCACTCTAGGGGTACAGCCAAGCACAAACTCCCTCCTCTATGGAGCTTACAGTCTAGTGGGTGAGACAAACAAATATGTAATATGTCAGATGGCGGCATGTGTTACAAAAAAAGGTAAGAGGAACCCAAGGCTGAGGAATGACTGAATGTGAGGGTTATTAGTTCAGATAAAACTGTCAGGCAATGCCACCCTTAAAAGATGACATTTCAACAGAGACCTGAAAAAAAGTGAAAAGAAACCACATGGATAACATGGAAACCCCGTGGGAGAAAGAGCATTCCAAGAAAAAAAAAAAAAGATAAATCTATTCTTGAATCATCAAGAACCATTTTCTATTGGATGACAACCCCTTCAGTGCCATGATGATGTCATTACGTGCAATATGGTTACGCTTCATGAACTGTGCTGACAGTAAAATAAATTCTCTTTTTCAAATCCAAAAGAATTCACTCTCCCATGAACTGAAAACATATGCGTTCTTCACTTCACAGTTTACTAAATATACCTATATTTGCAAATATGTAAATGTTTTTAAAAATCACCATAGGTGACAACATCCAAAATAGCTTCCTACCTCATCAGACAACTAATTTAATTAGTTTATCTATTAATGTGGTAAGAACTTAAGCCACACATTCTCTCTAGAGTACATACATAAACTAATTCTGAAGGTGTCATATCTGGAATTTCTCTGGAGCCATCTCCTTTGCTCACACTAAAGTTTTCTTAGTATTCCTCTTTTCTTAATTTTTGTAAAATGTTTATTTATTTTGAGAGAGCATGCACGTGAGCGTGGGGGAGGGGCAGAGAGAGGGAGAGAGAGAAGCCCGAGCAGATTCTGTGCTGTCAGTGCAGAGCCCAATGCAGGGCTCGATCTCAGGAATCATGAGATCATGATCTGAGCCAAAATCAGGAATCAGATACAACCAACTGCACCACTCAGGTGATCCTCTTAGTACTCCTCTTGATGTCTGAGTAGCATGTTAAAGTTGTGTGTCTTTTGGAATACCATCTATACGTTTATAAAGTATTATCTAAAAACAGAGAAATGTTTTAGTGGCAATATATGACCTATAGAAAAATGAAAGAATCAATGGTTCTGTTCTTTGGGAAAAAGGTACAAACTTATAATTGAAAACATACTCATTGTAAAACTCCCTGATAAGATTTTAGAAATTTCACTTCTTTGCATATGGCTATAAAATGTGTTTCTTCCTACTTCCACACGGTACCACACATACAGTGAGCCTTCTGAAAGTTGTCTATTTTATTTCTGAACCGTGGAACAAAAACTCTGGCACACTTACCTTATGAGAAAAAAAATTCAAAATACACACACACACCACCACCACCACTGCACACACATACGCACACGCTATTATATTGGCTTTATAGAAACTCTAAAATAGAAAAATATGGATTTACAGAAAAAACAGACTTGGGGCAAATAGTTACTTTAAAATGTCTTATTTTCAAAAAAATATTTACCACAGAACTCCTTTACATAGTGAGCGCCTAAAAGTTACATTTTAAATTGTCAATTTCACAAAAAAATCACAATTTGATACCATATTGTCAAGGATCCACACATACATCAACAGAGATCATTTATAGAGAATGTAAGAAGAGCTTAATCTAAATGCACACTGATATTATCATTCCACTGGGTATGGAAGGTGGGTCTCCGCCCTGGTGGAAAATCTTCCAAAAGCCTTTGTTCTTTAGTTTAAAAGGAATCTGTCAGAAAACAGTGCCACCATTACCCAAAAGTTCAAAAATGGAAGGTAATATAATTTTGAATTAAGGTAATTAATTTTGAATTTGCTCACAAATTTTGGCAAAGGCTCACGGCCATTCCTCCATATCATCACCTCACCTCCTCATCCCGCCTTCACCCCCTCCAATCTAAGGGAATCCTCCACTTACTCATCAAGCAACCAGTACCCATGGTTAGTCTAACCTTAACTTTATTTCCAAACCTGTCCCAATTTACCATTCAGAAACTACACTTTGGGAAAAAGGTTATGCAGCTTAAAAAGGAAGAGGCTAGTTATCCATCCAAAAATTCTAGACACATTAATACTCAGAAAATTTGGGATAAAAACTGAAATTCTGTAACTCACTTCATTATGTCAACTCTCTGTGAAAGACACACTGCACGAAAGAACTACCACAAAACCAAAAATGTTTTACGGAAACCAGAAGCTCTCTGTAGACCATGTGTATATTTAATTCTCTGTGTGGCATAATCTGAACCCAGATGTTTGGACTCTAAACTTTCTGGCCCGGAGGGGAGACATGAGAATTAATGATGGTTTGCATTTTAATTTAAGTCTGTTTGAGCATGACCCAAACTGAAATAGAAAAAACAACAAACGTATGCCTGACAAATTCCTTTGTGTATATGCTAAAATAATCAAAATTTGTATACAACAAATTCATACATGATATCTTTAAAAAAACAAGCACAATCAACATAATTTCTATATATGAATTCAAAATACTTTAAGTAATTCTATATGACTAGAAAATATTTTAAATTTAATTTTACCTGTATAATCCATAATGAAGCAATCGGCAGGGAACTGGGTTATTTTCCAAAGTACAGCTCTATCAGACACAAAATGAAAGGGCTCCCTGGGCCGGCAAACTATTCTGGGGAAAGCCTCCTGCCATGTGACATTAAGCACACACACACTTCTGCTTATCTCGAACTCAAGCCACAACTGATGTGACTCTGCTCCCCTTTGCCTGTTCTTTTAAAGTCATCTTAGAAAAGTCTCTGTTAGAAAAGAACCGTTATTTCTTCCCATTTCATTCCTGTATTGTTAGTTAAAACTAGGGCGAAAAATTCTTTCTCTAAGTGAAAAGAAGAACACGTAGGTGTCTATACTTCATCCTAGTACTCAATGTTACAAACCCATTTAACCTGAAAGGAGTAATCATCCAAATTTTTATAGTTTTGTCATGATGTCCATTCATTTGATAGTATGCACACTTGATCCATTTGAAACACATTTGATTAATTTGTAACCAAACCTAATAAAGGTGATGAAAGAACAATCCTCTAAAGCAGATCTAAAACCCTGAAGTCATTTGTCTGAGTCCTGAAACAGACATCAGATGGAAAGGACATATGGTCATTCCTGAGACAGACTCTATCTGATACAATCTTTAATGTCACATTGCAAAGACCCTGAGCCACCTCCTACTTTATTGCCAATTGTTTTGATCTTGAGCGTGTCCTGGCTGAAACTTTGACTTTCACAGTGGCTACTTCATCTTGATATAATTCTTAACATTGCTCAGAAACAAGATATAAATAAATAAACTGAAAAAAATTATCAGCTTCTTTTTGTCTGTTTGTTTTTTGAGCAACTTGAGTGGCTGGACAATTTTCCAATTTAGAGATATATTAAATACTCCCCTAAATTGCAGCTGTTTTGCGAAAGATAAGGTATTGGTTGTTTAGAGAGGCTTTGTTTTGCTTTTATTTTGCTACCTTGAATAAGTTTCTCAGTAAGATAATTACAAAGTTTACAGCACTATAAAATATGATTGCTAATTTCAGCTCAACATCAAAAGTATGTATCCTACAGAAATCTAAAAATTCTGGGCTCAAGATCATCATTTAACAGATCTCCCCAATAATTTTATAAAATAAATGAGAAAGCCTCATTTCACTCAGCCATCCAGTCAATGCCTCATTACCATAAGCAGATCCCATTACACCACCATTCTGCTGACAGTCAAAAGCTGTTAATTCTCATCAACCTCACCTGCCACTGCTGCTAAGCAGCCCTGTCTCACTTCTCAGGCCTTAATTCTCTTTATCTTAATCTAGAGTAGAGATTAGAAAGCTTTCCATGAGCTACAAAAATTTGATACAGTTTCTTCCTGGTAATTAAGATGTGCAAATGGTTAAAACAGTAATGCCATAATTGTTTTAAATGCTAACCTGAAATGCCTAATAATAACTGTCTTAATGTCCACAAAACTTACAAGTGTGTGGAAACACTGATAGCCATTATCGGATGTCACCTGAAATGACATTTTATGTCTTTCACAATTTAGTACTGTTAGCGTTGCTTTTTAAACTTCTTATCTAATTATTTGAGTGGCATTGTTTTAAGAGCAATTGTTTTATCTTATCCTTCTTAGTATTTTATAATTCTTGTTTAAATCACAGATGTTTTAAGGAAATGCCTTTTATTGACAAAATGAGAACATAATGAAAAATCCAAATGAGAAGAGACAAGAGAGATGGATAGATGGGTAAATAGCTATAAAACCTGTACTATACAGGCTACACTCAAAAAGACAAGAAATAACAAGTGTTGAGGATGTGGAGAAAAAGGAACCCTCATGCACTGTTGGTGGGAATGTAAATTGGTGCAGCCACTGTGGAAAACAGTATGGAAGTTCCTCAAAAATTAAAAAGAGAAATACCAAATGATCCAATAATTACAATTACTGAATACTTACCCAAAGAAAATAAAAATACTAATTGAAAAAGATATATGCACCGCTCTGTTTATTCCAGCATTATTTACAACAGTCAAGATATGGAAGCAACCTAAGTATACTTTCATAGATGAATGGATAAAGAAGATGTGGTATTGCATGTATGTGTATAAGACATATACACACATATACATACATAATGGAATATTACACAGCCTTAAAAAGGATAAGATTGTGCCACTTTCAACAACATGGATGGACCTAGAGGATATTATGCCAAGTAAAATAGTCAAGACAAATACCATATGATTTCACTTGTATGTGGAATATAAAAAACAGAACAAATGAATAAACAAAAACAAAATGCAGAATCAGACCTGTAAATATGGAGAACAAACTGAGGATTTGCAAGGTGGGGTAATGTGGGGGGAGATAGGCAAAATGGGGGAAAGGGAGTGGGAGATACTGAACACCTGAAACTAATTGTAACATTGTTGTGTCAACTATACTCAAAAAAAAATTTTTTTTTAATTTTTAAAAAGCCTACAATCTACAGTTAAGTGATTTACCACAGCTCAGAAAGCCAGCAGGGTAGTTAAGAGTCAGGCTTTGAATCAGACAGAGAAGGTACAAGTCACACGTTAGCCACTTATTAGCTGGATAATCTTAAGTTTTTAAATCTCTCTGAGCCTCTGGTGGCTCATAAATTGACAAAGGACCTACCATCAATGCCTGGGACATGATAATAGCTAATAGGTAAATGAAGAGCTAATGTGTAAGTAGTTGCTTAATGTGTACCAGGCATTGTCTGACATCATGTATTAACTTATTTAAACCTCACAACAGCCTTGTAAGATATTTTCCTCATTTATAGATGAGGAAATTGAGGCATGGAGGGTAAATCAGTCACTTAACTAAACATAGCAGAGCCAGGATTCAACCGAAGCCCATCTCAGAGTCCTATGTAACACTGCCTTTAGAGAGTAGGTGATCAACAAATGGAAGCAAAACAACAACAACAAAAAAAACATTTCCAAAAACTTAGTTCATTCTTTCCAATAAAACCTGCAATTTCCCAAATATTTCAGTTCAGAGTTTATAAAACTTCTCTTGTATAGTCTATGTTCAATTCCAACATATGGAAAGATTAAACAAAGAAACAGAATGAAAGAGATAATGTCCTAAGTCATCTTGATAGTTAAAATGAGAGTTGCATTCATCAGTTAGGCAAAAATAAACAGTCAAGAGCAGAAAGCTATAACCATAAAAGGACCGGAACTATTCCCCACACTCCCAGCAGCCACCAAGTCCATTCCTCTCTACTTTTCAGTTCTCCAAATGTCACAGTATATACTACTTTCCTGACCTCTAAAGGGTTTAAGGGTTTAGGCAAGTTCCTCTAACTACACAGGTCACTCAGGAGGAGGGCCTTCAACTACTTCTCCCTTACCTTCCTCCCCAAGAAACTTCTCTATCCCCATTTCACTCTCAGCAAAGGAGACTCTCTGGTATGTCCAGAGGCAGCCTCCCACACACACACCATCCCCAGCAACAATTACATCACAGTCCTCTCCAACAAGTAGCAACAAGTCGTCAGAGGCACAGGAACCACTCTCCTAACACCAACTTACTGACTTAGCAGCACCCCGCATTACACCCTGGAACCCCGTTTCAGATTCCTGCTACAATTCAGCCTTTCATGCTCCAGGCTGGAAGAAGCATAGTTACTGAATCAAGAGACCTGAGGCCTAGCCCCAACATTGCCACTCATTTCCTCTCTAAGTCCTGGAACCTCTGTAGGTGTCCATTCCCTCGCTGGCAAAATGAGGAGGCTGAACTAGATGATCCTTAAAATCTAGTCCAACTCCAACAATCTAGGATTCTAGTGTAAACCAATTACACCTGGAAAAGAAAACTCAAGTAACTCCTGCAGGTAACTGTTCCTCCTCTAGTCCACATCATCCCCTCTTCCATCCTGCTGGAGCCTTGAGAATAGCCCCACCTCAAGGGTGGGAAGCCAGGGAGCCAGGTGTTATCATCCAAATCCAGTGCATTCACACACTGCATGGCTCTGAGGGAGCCTCCAACAGTTTCCAGGTACACTGTTTCTCTCAGCCTGGGGTTAGCAGATGAATACAAACACACACAAAACACACAAGAAATAAATGTTGGGAAGTCTACCAACTGGTTCATGGTAAAGGTCACCCCTCTTAAGACAACAAGGCCTGGATGTCAGCAAGAAAGCTTCTGAAAGAGACCCCTACTTCCAGGACATGCCTGAGATGGCCTGGACAGGGAGTGCCAAGTTTGTAGGTGACAGCGCAGGGGCTGAGACAAAGCTGTCCTCTCTCTCCAGAGTAGTTCCTAAAATGTGAGTCCACAGCCCTTTTCTCTCCCCAGAGAAGGAGAAAGAGCATGACTCCCACTTCACTCTTCCCTCAAATCTGAAAACCATGACCTTATCATAATATTTACATCATATTTCCAACCCATTCAATAACTCACTTTATTGCACATTTTAAAACCCCAGAGGTGGATTATAAATGCTCACCCTGCTTTTCCACATTACAGAAATAATAGCATGGGGTTTTCCCTCTGGTCTCTATTCTCACCCTCCTCACCAACAACTCAGAGTTGAGTCAAAATGCCTTAATGTTATGCCTCATCCCAACTTCCCCTTAACTGGAACAAACTTTACCTAAGATGTTGCTGCTCTCCCGAGCTTCTTACCACCCACGCCAGCCTGCATCTGCTTCGGCAACTCCTTTTCATATTCTGCCATTCTTCATTGGCTTTGCTTATCGAGCCCCAAGACTACCTCATGGCTTACCCCACAACATAAGAACACTCCACTACAAAAAGCGTTCTCTGAAGAAGATTCCAACAGGTGAAACCAACTCTTCCCATGAGTGTGCTGCCTCCATATCTCAAAATTTTTAAGTAAGCCAAGACAGATGACCATCAAGCACCAACCAGGTAACAAAACAAGTACCCAACCCAGACATATCCCTCTATAGAAAGCTTCTTTAGGCAAAACACAGACTTTACTGTGTGATTTTGGTCTGTTCATCTGGCTGGCAAAAGGAATCGCTGCAAAATAAGCAAAGATAGTTATGAAAAATAGTCATGAATGGACTACTGTGGGTTGT